CGAGTAAAATTCATTGATACACAATATGCTCAGTTGATCGACTTTCAAAATCACTGTCAGAAGCTTTAGACCTTCTGTACTTGGTGGAATAAATCGGCTTAGTAGTTGATACTACGAGCTCTTTACAAACTGAATGTTTTATTTATTTTGAATTAACCGGTTTAAATGATTGTTATCCGATTTGAAACGTAAATAGTAACATACGAGAGCGACTTTTGCTTTTATTACAAACGTAAATTCCCATGTGTCCATAGGGTTGTCAGTGTCTCCGATTTGTAAGTAGTAAATGTTTAATTTTTTTTTTCCATACCTCTTATGCATGTTGTAAAATATGAGCGCTGTGTTTTGTATTTGTTCGTCCTTCTTTCGTAATTGTTTGAGTAACTATAACATGTATAATGGAGTTCTACTTTAAAATTGTATGCCCTAAACTTTAATTTTATAAGAAAATGTTACAAACTGGAACAAATACTAAGTTTAACATGTTATGCGACTGAGAAAAAGAAGAATTGGCTCCGTTTGGCCATTTTCTTGTATCATTCTCGTAATTTACTGACGACACGCTTTCTGGGTTTAACAGAATCACACATTGGTAGGGGTAGGATGGGTTGGATATTTTAATTCAGTTCATGCAAGCATATAATGGTGATAGAGATTTTGAAATAAGTAATTTACTACTTACTATTCAAGTAGCAGAGAGAGAGAGAGAGAGAGAGAATCAACAAATACACTGTATAAACTCCCTTTAAACATTGCCTTGGCGTTAATATAATTTGAGGGTGGTCGGGTGTCTATTATTGGTCGGTGGTCGGTTGTCTATAACTTGAGTGTGGTCGGGTGTCTATTATTGGAGGGTGGTCGAGTGTCTATAACTTGAGTGTGGTCGGGTGTCTATAACTTGAGGGTGGTCGGGAGTCTATTATTGGAGGGTGGTCGGGTGTCTATAACTTGAGGGTGGTCGGGTGTCTATAACTTGAGTGTGGTCGGGTGTCTATTATTGGAGGGTGGTCGGGTGTCTATAACTTGAGGGTGGTCGGGTGTCTATAACTTGGGTGTGGTCGGGAGTCTATTATTGGAGGGTGGTCGGGTGTCTATAACTTGAGGGTGGTCGGGTGTCTATAACTTGAGTGTGGTCGGGTGTCTATTATTGGAGGGTGGTCGGGTGTTAAAAATTTGAAGGTGGTCGGCTGCCTATAATTTGAGTGTGGTCGGGTGTCTTTAATTTGAGGGTGGTCGGGTGTCTATGATTTGAGGGTGGTCGGATGTCTATTATTGGAGGGTGGTTGGGTGTCTATAAATTGAAGGTGGTCGGGTGTCTATAATTTGAGGGTGGTCGGGTGTTTATAACTTGAGGATGGTCGGGTGTTAATAATTTGAGGGTGGTCGGTTGTCTATAATTTGAGAGTGGTCGGTTGTCTATAATTTGAGGGTGGTCGGGTGACTATAATTTGAGGGTTGTTGGGAGTCTATGGTTCTCTTCCAGTGTTACAGAGTAAGCCTCTGGCGATCCGTGTGGTCTCTAGACCTCTTGTCTCTTAAAGGATCTTTTAGGAAATTTGTATTGGATGAAAAAACTTGGATGATAATATCCTTTGTAATGGCCGTACAAAGTTTGTCTAGATCTGATGTACTGTGAAAAAGATTACATGTTACTTTTATTCAAGCAATGTCTCATTCGAATAAAAACTTATAAAAGAAGTTGTTTACAGTCATTCTCCCGATCTTTTTCCCCCAGCTAGTATTGATTCCGATTTCACATCTGAATCTGAGCTGTTAAAATCCATGTGTTGATTGATGCTTTGTGTGGGAGGGATTGTATGTAGATTTTGGGAACACGATCTTGGTGTTGCAGAGAAGCGGAAGTTTGCAATGAGATTTAGATTCATGACATCAGAACTGCCATATATCCAGTACATTATAAGGTCGAATTCAAAGACCACTTACATTTTCTGAAGAGGCGGTATTATCTCGTTAATGTTTGCTCTAAATTAATATTTCATCGATATAGTTATTCAATTATAAGGATGATTTTTCATTATTCAAAGATCATGTTTTGTACACAATTCCCGGCCTTTTCTCAAAATCTGTGATAAAAAGTTTCCAATTGGATTCATTCCGGATTACGTATCTAAATTTAAGTGATTTTTATATGGAACTTATCCAAATAATGTATTCTTTACGACACTAATAAATTAAATTGGGCTTCTTGGAAAGACCACGTACAGATTTCTCAGCTCAAAGTTACATTTGATAGTGCTCAACTTATACACTTGTAAAACGTCCAGTACATATCTCTAGACGGAACCTCTAGTCCCAATGCTTCGTTCGAATTACTGGTAACTTTGATTTTCCCAAGCTGAGTTTTTGGCGAAAAGCAGGCCATACCTATATTTGAAAATATCAGGCCATGCCCGTCTTAGATTTGAAACTTCAGACCTTGTTCATGAAGTTACATGTACCACTCTGCTAGTTATAGATCGTGTATGAACATTTTGAGATAGACGACCAGAGAGCTACAGTTCTACTCTTCCACGCATACGAAAAATTGCAATATAGAGATTAAGTTTACCTGCACACTCTGAGAGCGTACATGAATGCATATCAAGCTCAAAGGCTATCAATGTGTTTGTACTTTTCGTGTACTTAATAATATGTTTAAATAAAAGTTTTGGTTTTGATAATTATAAAATATATATGATTATGCGGGAAAAAAATTAATTTGGTAATATAAAAGAACTTTTAAACTGATTAGAGAAAAAACTGACCACACAAATCGAAGAACAAATGAAATAGCCAGGATTCCGATCATCCCTACGCATACGAAAAAAATTCATTTAATGTAGACATGTGAGAAAAATATTCTATTTCAGAAATAGCACTGTTTCAACGCAAAATATAATAAAGAATTTAAATGTAATAAACTGAGATCAATAAATTTTGAATTATAACATTTTGCTTTGAGATTAACACAGAATGAACATGTGATAGCTCAAAATGTAACATAGCATAAGAGTGTGTTAGGTCACACAACATCATTTGGTGTCTTAGCACTTTAAAATACTGAAACATGTACCTCTGAAACTGTACACATTTTTTACTGTACCTTAAATTGCATTTTTTGTATGTAAGGGACTGTAGCTCTGTGGTCCTCAACTAGAAATTTTCAGCTTACTTGAGCCAAAGGCTTAGATGAGCTTTTCTGATCAAAGAGTCTTTATCTGTTTTCTGCCGTCGTCGGCGTCGTAGTAAACTTTTTCACAAATTTATCTTCTCCAGAACCACTTTGCCAATTTCATCCAAACCTTGTACAGAACGTCACTGAGTAAAAAAGGGACTCCTCAGGTTTGTTCAAATGATCACGCCCTCTCTCAAGGGCAAATAATTAAGAATTAGTGAAAATTAAATTCCATCTTTCAAAAACCTTGGTCTTAAGAACCACTGGCTCAGAAAATATGAAACTTAGGTAGAAGTTTCATAACATAGTGTTATATTAATTCAAATTCGTTCAAATCATGACCTTTAGGGTCGCAAGGAGCGATCTCAATTTTACATAGGAATACAGAGGGAAAAAATCTTTAAAAATTTTCTTCTCAAGAGCAACAAAGCTACGATATTCAAGTTTCTTCAAATCATGACCCCCGTGGTGGGGTTGGGCCACAAGGGGCGATCAATCATACATAGGAGTACATGGGGAAATATCACCTCAAGAACAACGAAGCCAAGTTTATTTTTTTCTTATTTTGCAGGGAAACATCTTCAGATTGTTTAGATTCGAATTTGTTCAATTCATGACCTCCAGAGGTTGGGTGGCATTTAAGTTTTACATAGTAGTATATGACACAAAACCAACTCAGGAACAGCACTGCCAGATTAGTCTTTATTTAATGGAAGCATCCTCAAGTAGTAGTACAAATCATGACCCTTAGGTGTAAGATGGGGTCACAATGAGTGGTATCAGTTTTACATAGGAAATACGAAAAATCTATGAGAAACCTTTATTGTTGCGCTATCCAAGAGTTCATTTGGTCAGGTTCTGACGACAGAAGTTGGTGAAGGCAACTTCGACCAGACGTTCACACAATTTGGAAGACAATGGGAAACCGTCTTGTCAGAAATGTGATCGCAATCCAGTCAGACAATGTCTGTTTCTCGGAAATTCGATCACAATAATTCATAAGTTATATTATTTCCTCTAAGTACATATCTCTCCTATGACAGCAAGGTACTTGGAGTGTATTCTTTATAACGTCATTTGTAAGGGTTAATGAAAAAAAAAGCACAAAAACGTTTCAGATCCGTGGTTAATTTTCATTTGGATGTTTATTGGCCACCTCCCCCGCTTTTGTTGCTGTAAGGTCCAACCCCCCTCCCTGATGATGGGAAAGGTTACCCCCTCCTTCCCACACCTCTTAAAACCGTTGCTACGAGCCTGGTGTAATATATTTAAGAGTTTAAATAAGATATAACGGGTTGTTCTTGGGGCCCATCTATCCTAAAATAAGAAAGTCCATCATCTGCTTAATAAATAAGATACAGGAATAGTTCATTTAGTAGATCATAATAGATCATCTTCATTTGGACTTTTCTTTATGGATCATGTCTTATCAAAGAGACAGCAGTTAACACAGATCTGTTGCTCTCAGAACGGCAGAATCATACATGTATAAACTGTATATCAGATCTCCAGATGACTATAAAGGGACTCATTTGTAACCTGACTACCTCCAAAACGTCAGATATTACATTTGCATATATTGGACAAATGTTTATTGATTCCAAAGCATACTGAGGTAGTTTCCAGGATAATGTAGACTCTTTGTTAGGAGGATTTTCTGATCAGTAGGTAGGGTTATAGTAAAACTTGAAAGAATAAGTTAGTCCATTCATGTTTATCCGATGTGTCTACCCTGATATAATTTACGAAATTCACGTTTATTTGACGTTGTCTAAAAAAGGTTCTTGTCCAATATTTGCTTTAAATTCTGTTTTCTCTTTTCCAGACAGCTTGTACCGCTTTAGAGGACTCGAGATGGATTTAAAGGGAAAGGTTTCAGTGGCAGGAATATGGATATTTTTATTATATGCCACCACTGTGTGTGTTACTCGCGCCTTTAGATTTCCCAAAACCTCCAGTCCCATAAAACGAAATTGTAGTTCATTGTCACCATGTAAAAGGGTGTTTCAGTTAACCTTTGCGGAGAAAGTTCGCATTGACATGCTAAAGAAACATATCATGAACGAGTTAAACATACAAGATAACACGGTAAAAGGTTCTAATAATGGGATATTGAGGAAACAGCAGGACCAAAGTGTTCCTCCCAAACCTGAACCAGAGAGTTTCCTGCAGGAAATGGCGGAAATTGTCAGTTTCTCGGAAAAACCAGGTTTGTTTGTTTTAATTTTGTTTTTACACATGATTTTGTTTGCGATCCTTTGAACAACCTTAGAATACGATTTAATTCACAATAATCATTGGTTTAACTTGAGCTCTGAATGATTTGAAATATTTCATTCAAATAAGAACGGGGTTTTTAAAAAAAATTGAATTTTGAATTTGAATGTTTGGCTGTTTATGATATGGAATAAAAGACCATTTTATGTTATAATGCTCCGTATAAATGCGTTCAATAAGTATATAATTGTCAAATGGAGTACTCATGATTTACAAGGGCATATCTAATTAAAGAAAACTCTTTTTATGGTTTTCAATTAATATCGCTTAATCTATTCAAATGTAATCTTTTAAATCTGTTTTTGAATAAGCTTTGAAAAAAGATGAATTACATAACATACAAGTTGACGGATATATATTGACGTGATGAAATTTATGTACTTAAGAAACAGTAAGAGTACCATGGTACCATAACACCCACAATTTAAAATGTAAAAAGAGACCATCAGGTTTTTTTTTTTTCTATTTCAATCCAATAAAACATCGATGGCGGTGTTCATTCATACATTACTTTTTACACTGAATTTTAAAAAGCATTCAATCTGTGAATGGATGCGAATTTCTACAATCTAACAATTGGTGCTAAGGCCAGGTTTTGTCCTGGTACATCAATAAATACAAATATAAAAGAGAACCATTTAAATATGACAATAATGGCGCAAATTAGCTTTAAATTCTCCCGTTTAACCTATTTTTTTGGGGGGATATATGTGTTCTTTGTACTTTTCTGTTTGTCAGAAATTGAAAGTTTGAAGCCTATTTAACTTAAAGACGTTTACGAAAACTTATAATATCAAAGCATTGCGAAGGAAAAAATCCTATACCAAATTGTTTTTCATAAAGTTCTTTAAACATTCCACTCAAGTTTATATTCACTCGTTATGTTTACTTGACACTTTTCCGTTCACCTTACACATGTATGCGTATGACTAAATGCATTCTTACAATATTTTAGAGTTTCGTTTGAGAGTTTTACAGAAAAGATACTTCAGGCTTCATTGAAATTGTTGGATTGTAGAATAAGATTATCGCATATAGTGGTGGGTAATATTACAAATGTTTTTCATCTCGACAAAACCATTCTCAATGGTTCAGACGCAGTCCCCAACCACATGCAATATTTATTTATTTAATCTATTTTTATTTTTAAATATTACATGTATATACATGTATGGATGCATACAGATCTTTGGTCAACCGGAAGTGCATACATTGCAGGCACGTGATTAGTACCGTATTTCTATAATACATGTTATATACATGTACCTGTGCCAAGTTATGTTAATATCTCCTTGGAGGGCGTGGTTTCTGATGGTTCACAGAGAGTACATGGTCACTACATGTAATAGTGTGCCGTTCCCCAGTCAATCAAATTCGACTGTTATAGAAAGTTCATCAGTATTTATATATATGCTGCCTGCAGCATCATATTTTGCAAACATAGTACAAATAGGGGGTGGGGGGTTATATTTTCCAAATAACCTTATAAAGCCGGAAAATAAGAATTTCCTGAGTTATCAGGACACCTTAAATTTTAATTCGCGCTTATTATTATTTAAATGATAACACTTTCCCCCTACATAACAAAATAATTAATCCTCACCTGGCCAACTGAAAGATTGAGGTTTTGCCTCATCGGTTTACCGCAATATCCGATTAGGCTTATTAAGAAGTAGACACGTGTGTTGAAGTACTATTCAAGGTTTTTTTTTAATCTCCAATCGCATAATTCCTCCCTTTGAAGTCGACTTAATTTGTTTGACCTAAATAAAGGAGCGTTGACCGACTTCTTTTAAACCATGTTTTGTTAAGGTCAGAAGACGCCTTCAATAATATATAATTTTCTCCAAGAATTTCAGTAAGGTATTGCTACTTTAACGAGTTAACTTGAACAAAATTGAGGTACATTAGCAGCCATTTGTGAAGATACCAGAGGGTGTTGTTTCCTATACATAATCCTATTGGGAATCACTTGAATTACCAATATCATACTGAATTTTTGGTGTATTTCATTTTTAAGACATTTTGAAAACATTTTTTGAAATCACAAGATAATTATAACGTAATTTAGTTTTTATATCTATCGAAGAAATACAAAACAGATATTCGAGGAACGCGTCCTCTGGCCTTGATATGCATTGTATGTACGTACACGTGCACGTGAGTTAATTGATAAGGGATATATTTTAAAAACTTATGTGTTTCAGGTTATTTTAATTTTTTAAAACAAGAACTAATAAGGAATAAATGAATTGCATCACAAGTGAAATACAAAAGAATTCAAGTATTAGGATGGCGGTAAAACTGTACTTGATTATTCAACATAATACCAGAACCGATAAATTAACACATATCTATTAATCTGTCAATCTAGGGCGACATATCTCTACCAGTTAAAATATAAGGAAACGATTTCTAACTCCATATATTCTGAGTAAATTCAAATTGCATTTAATGAAATTATGATAAGAAAAATCATAAAGCTATCAATTTTAAATTTTTGGACATAACTGAAGGATGTCTTGTACATAAGGGGAATTGTTGACGAGAATGCTGCAACTCAGACATTCATTATACTATGTTTATTGGGTCCGTCATCTGATTACAAAAGTAAGAAATGAATGGAAAGCCCGTCTAATACCCATATCTTTGTTTTTCCAGAGAACATCTCGGAGCGAAATGTCCTATCATTCACCATTGACGTCAGTACCAAACCAAAACAAATAGAAGCAGTGAGTGCACATTTATGGATTCTCATGAGAAAACGAAAACGAGGCAGGTCAAAGGGCAGAAAGGTCATACTTCGAGTTATGAAGGTACCCAATCAGAAAGACGAGAAATTTCACTATCTTACAGCTTTAAGAACTAGGGTGAAAAAATCAAGATGGCAGAAAATCAGCCTTCCGGTGACACTAATTCAGTCAATGTTAGATTCCAAGGACAAAGCATTAAATCTACGGATTTCGTGTAAATACTGTGGTAGAATGGTGCGTCCAGTATTGTTTCGGAGGGAAGATAAAAACCTGACAATGAAAAACGGAAAGACACGAAGAGGGAAAAAACGACGACGGCGTCGGAGGCGCATGCGTAACAGGAAAACCAATGAGAATAATAGAATTCAACCATTTCTCGTAATAAGTACTAGATACCGGCATACATTTAAGAAATCATGAAATCATGAGTTAACTTCTTGAGAGACCAAAGTTTCCGACCAGCATTGTGTTCACTACTTAAATAATATAATCACTGTGCGTAATCACCTACTCATGGGAGTCACGTGATAAAGGGAGATGGTAGTCACGTGATAAAAGAAGATGAACTCGCTGTCAACAACTAAGAAAAAAAATTGACATGATATTTACTGCCTGCATTTTATAAAGAGCTAGAGTGCGTGAATGTACATGTATATCATTTCAACATCCATATATTCCCCATAGTAATTGTATATAAACAAAGGTATTACATCTGACTTAATTAACTGGTATTATGTTCGAGCGAAGTAAGTTCTTACGATATTGGTTTTAAATACCGTCAACCAAGTTCAAGTTCAATTTATTCACTCAAACCAATTAATGGTACATGAGGTTCTATGCACGTTATATACAAAAACAATATACAAGATACACGTGAAATGGCGGAAATACATTCAAATTATAGAGTAACCAATAATAATAATAATAATAATATAATTATGGAGGACAGACTTGTTCATATACCCTATCTATGTAGCTGCATAGTTTGATTAATACCTTAGAGTCAGCAGTTGACAACAATTCTGAGAATTTGTAGAAATTTGGTCTATTACAATATTTACCAGGTAGATACTTTTTTCTGCATTCTGAGAAAAATTGACATTCTAAAATATAGTGATACTCATCTGCTATTTGTCCATTATTACAGATATTACAGAGTCTATCATTTTTGGGAATTCCAAACCATCTCCCAGTCTCAACTGGGAGATGATGATTTGCTGTTCTTAATTTAATTAAAATTGTTCTAAATTTTCTAGGGAGAAAGTCTAAATATTTTTCAAATCCAAACTCTGTTTTGAAGATACTATACATATGACCTTTAGACGAATCGCGCACATCACTTTGCCATTTCTGTATGTACTGATCTTTAAGACGTTGGTTCTTATGAAATTGGGTTCGTTGTGAAAACAATAATTGTAAAGTAATACTTTACTTCAAATTACTTTACTTTACTTAAGAAAAGCATTTAAAAATATTAATTTTTTTTGTAATGTTTTATTGAAACATTTACTTTTCTGTATACAATAAGTATTTGAATATTTTACACCCCAGTTTGTATTTCGAAAGTACGGTATCGTAATGATACTTTAGAAATATGAGCTAATTTTTCTTTTTTTTTTTTTATCTTTTTCTCAGAGAATTCAGTAGCTCTATTTTATTGAATGTTTACTAGTTTCTCGGGGAACATGGTTTATACCCACTGAAAGATTTGTTAAGTCCAGATTCCAAGGGATACATAAACTCCATATTTATTTTATTCTCTTTTTGAGATAGCAACATCACAATGAATTTCTTTGGCCACAGGTCTGGGCAGGTGACCAAATTGCTTCTTTAAAAGACTAAGTAATATACTAACAAAGGGTCATTCAGCTAGTTCTTTGTCTGGGACAATCCCATAGTTTTAATCCGATAAGTACTGTAGCTTACCATTAAAATAACCCTTTTAAATAATCATTAGTCTGTTTAGATATATGCACTGAGGCATATGTCCACACATTCAATGTTATGTTTTATTGATCTTAAAATAAAGCATATCTGTGAATTACAAACTTTTGTCACTTTTTTTATTTCTTTCGTCAGATTCAAGTCAAGAAATTTGATGTGTAAAACTATTAGGAAAATTTAACCCAATTTGGAAAGAAAAGCTCATTCGACAGATCAATGTAGGTGTGAATGAAATTTTATCACCTGCTCTCATTTCAGCTACCACACATAGGAATAAATCCCCACTGCGTACATACATTGCCATATATTTGAATCCAAGATGATTTTGGTTTTATATCGATTTCAACAAGAGATTTTAACCCCATTCTGATTTATGATAAAAAAAAAGGTTAAACATAAATCAGAGATTGGGATGAAGTAAAATTAAGAAAACAACATGCGTGTACTTACAATTAAGATATTTTCTAATATGCTATTTTATTCAAAATATTGAATGTGCAAAGCTTTTGTTGTATTAATTATGTCTAGAAACTGAAAAAGTAAGGAAGTAATTCACAATGTTTCATTTTCTTATTTTGTAAAACATATAATATTTGTCTTGTTGTTTTTATATTTACATGCAAGAAAAATAATTAAAAATAAATAAATGATTATAAGAAGGACGTTGATTTATTTGATATCAATTTTTTAGCAGATTTTGAGGAGGTTTACATGGATTTTTTTTTATTTCAAATTTTCAGAAGCCATTGGTCTATTTTTAGAACCAAAATTAAGGGCTATACCAACTGTTTTGATTTGAAAACGACTATATTATACAGTTATGGAATGGGTATGAGGGAAATAGCAAATTTATGGTTCCCCGAGGGAAATAGTTTCCTGCCGAGGGGAACCATAAATTTGCTATTTCCCTCATACCCATTCCATAACTGTTTTATTATACCGAAACAAACAAGGAGATTTATTAACTATAGACTTAGCCATTTTTAAAACAATATAGAGGCATTTTATATAAATAATCAAAAATGCGCGTGATTCCAATTTTGTTAAATATGTGATGCATCAATACGGAAAAATAAAATTATTTAAAATAAATAATAATTTCACTAACATTTCGAAGGATTATCGTTGTCCTCTTTTTGCTTAGAAGTTCCAGTATGATTTTGACATCGCATGTCGAAATGTTTTGACGTCATAGTTACATTGCTAATTTAACATTACGTCACGGACTCGAGATTCCTTCAAAAAAGGACGATCCTGTCTAATTAAGAAATGAATTTCATTTTTGAAGATTCATGAGGACATGAACTACGACGCTTCACGCCGGCATATTTCATGAAGTGCCGGCGAGAAGCGTTGTAGTTCATGTACCTCATGAATTTTCAAAAATTAAATTCATTTCTTATATTTACATTATTTTTTTCTGATGATTTGCCACAAATACCGCCATTCAACTGTCATTTTTAAAGCAAAACAGTTTGCACTATAGTTTTGACGTCAAGTAAGGTATTATGACGTAACAATGGAGATATTCATGCTCATCCATGGTAGTTCATGAGAAAATGAACTGCATTCTATTTTGTAAAGAATCATAGGGGAAATTTATTGGAAATGTAAATATTAGATTCTAACCTCGATTTCTCTCCATTTCGAAACTTTGAACGTTCAGGTTTGACGTTATAACTATTGTCAACGTCATTATGTGAAGGTCATCCGAATTTCCGCGGAATTTTACAAAATACAAATGAAATGTATAAAGTGATAAATAACTTTTTAATTAAAACTTTGTCATGCTCCGAGTCACCATCCCATTGGTCTAATAATGAAATCATAATTGTCATTATACATTTAAAATTCAATAAAATTTTACATTTTGTAATTCATATAGACATGTAGTGAAGGATTATAAATATGCTAATAATAAATATCTATAACACAACTTTTATTTAAATTCTAGCTTGTCCACGAACTTTACGGACAACTACCCTCGTATATATATATATATATATATATATATATATATATATATATATATATATATATATATATATATATATATATATATATATATATATATATATATATATATATATATATTAGGAATGACTCTAATTCTTGGCCAAATTATTCGAGTATAACCTGGTTTGGGTCAGTTTACGCTTTATAATCCGCGAAGCGGATTATAAAACAGCGTAAACTGACCCAAACCAGGTTATACTCGAATAATTTGGCCAAGAATTAGAGTCATTCCTTATAATTTAATTTTAAAATCATTAAATAACTATGGGTGTAAAATTTCGTTGCTTTTTATTAGTTCAAATTTGCCGCTCAATAATACAACCGTAGTAACGGAAGTACCGGAAGTGATGGGAAGCGAGGGGAGGTAAAAATTGATACATAGCTTTAGCAGCCTTGTTGTTTGTTTACATGTGGTAAAATCGAATTATTGTTTGGTACATTTATTAAATCTGGAATTTTCCATGAATCCCGAGGACTGGAAATGAGAGGATTGTATGGATACAGATGATTCAGCTGGTTGTCAGGGGGGTATGTCCCCATACCAAACCAGGTTATACAGAAATAATTTGTGTTCCTTTTGGGTAATTAACCAATCAGCGGCTAGAATACAAACAAAATTAAATTTTATATATATATATACTGAGATTAGAATTATGACAAAAACTAGTGGATATCTTTCCTTTCACTTCAGCGGAAAGTGATTTAATATTTGACTTATACACGATATAAAACTAGTGCAGGGTATGTGTAATATGGCGTAACAAACTAACATGTGCTAGCATCAAAGCGTTATGTGTGAACTCATCTGCAATATCTTGACCCAAATTCACGCCTGAGTTTCACCTATATTGAAATAACCCAATTTAGTAGTCCAGACGAAAATTGTTTATACGATCATCGTACCTGGATCTAAGTATGGTTTATGATTTTTGTTTCGTCGATAAAAGATTTTGAATCATAAAACGTGTATTAATAGACGACAAAAAGGTCCATCATTTGTATAAGCTATAAAGTATATAAAGGATTCACCTAATAATAACAAAAATAATTTTCGAAATATCTATTTGATGCCCAATTTTATTTGCCTTGGGTTTGATGTCAAAAATGTCAAGGATTAAACGCGTATCGTTGCAGAAAGATTATTGACCGTTTAAAGTGCTTCAAGGATAGCTCATATATAATGTAAAATTTCATATCAACAACTACATATGTAAGCGAAATAAAGGAAATCACCCCATTCCAAAGAACATACATTTTCATGCACTCAGAAAACATTATTTACTTATTTATTTATTTAAAATAAATAAATAAGTAAATAATAAATAAATAAATAAATATTAAATAAAATTTTAAATATTGATTAATAAACAAATTACACCAGGTTTTTCCTCTTGTTAGCTGAATTCAGCAATAGATATCTCGCATATTTTAGGATATCCGATCCTTAGCAAGGAATGATAACTCTTTAATTTATTATTTAATTCAATAAGTCTCAAAATGAAGCTTGAAATTGAGATCTTTTCATGCAACAATTTTCATTTCATGCACCTCAATGTGATTCATGGTTATTTAAAATTTTTAGAAACGGTAATATAAAAAGTTGATATTTGTACCCCATAAAAGTACAGTCAAACCTCGTAATCTCGAACTCGGTGGGACCGAGAAAAACTTCCAGATATCCGAGGATTCGAAAAAGCAGGGTTAAAACACTGACTTAGAGAATAAGTGGTCGGGACTTCCAAATCACTTCGACATATTCATGGTACCCGAAATATCAGTGTTCGAGATATCGAAGTTCAACTGTATTTCAAAAAATCAAATATTTCAAGAAATTGAATTTCCTTTAATCTTACCTTAGATACCAATGTTTATAAACATGATATGAAATCAGAAGTAATTTATGGTGTTTTGCAATGATAGGAAACGCTTTATACGCTATGCATTATAAAATAATTGAAGTAAATAGAAGAAACTAAAGTACCACATAAGTATAAAAATCACTCAATTTTCTTCAAAAGCGTGGATATCTATAAATTTTTTTTATCCTAAAATATATTTTTTGATCAGTTTTCATTTAGAAAAAATGCATAGTAGATGTTTTTATCCGCATTTCCCGAAATTTATTTCAGATTTACTAATTTCCCTGTATAATATGATTAAGTTTGAAAAATTACCGTGGGTAAATACACATTACTTCGAGAATTTAGAAACATTTTTGTGAGCATTTTCAATTATTTAACGCCTGATTTTCAGAACCTGAGGATCGGACCACCTTAATTTACTTAATTTTTTTAAATTAATACTTTAGTAGAAAACCATGGGCTATATATGGAGAGGTAAGTATTTTATAATGATCAGTAATAGCAGGCCTAGGAGCGGATCCACATTTTCTATCGGGGTGGAGAACTTAATCTTAATACTTGAAATTGATATGAGCTTTAATTACAGAAACTGAAAATACTGGTAGTTTATGTAACATTAAAAGTGTGTGATCTGTTTTATTTATTTATTTACTTTTTTTTTTGGAAAAGGAAGTGGTGGTGGGGCGGGGGGGGGGGTTCAAAACAGACATTGGTGATTCCAAAGTCATACATTTGTAGTGATGA